ATTAAAGGGTCAGATTATTAAATTATCCTTCTACGTTGTACTGTTTTATTCTATGTCTCTGTGTCCTGTGATACCCTCACCCCACCCCCGCTTTCCTGTTTTATTTAGTCCAGGAAAATGCAGATAGAATTTGACATTGGGCAGATGGATGGTGTGGATCTTGGTGCTCAACAGACTGAGGGAGTAACAAGTCAGGGAAGTTGACTATGATCCACATCTGTTCTTTCAGTGTCATAACCTCTGTTCAGTTACAAACTTTCAGTTGCTTGACTTAATTATGACATGATCTATCCTGAGGCAACAAGTGGCAAAGTGGACTGGACAATCTGGTACATGAGTGACGTTCCTTGCAGCCTACTTTATACGATTAGGAGCAGAAATCCCATTTTTATGTTTCCTGTTCAAAAATTATATTGGCGTGGGGCAGCTGTGTATGTGCCTGCGCTGAACCTGCTCTGAATGGTGGTTAGTGTTTTTTGTTGTTGAAGAGCCAGGAATGCAACCAGGTGTTGAACAAAATTACAAATGGTCCTTTAAAAAGCCTCAACTTTGAGCAGGGGTTGATCCACCTGTGCTACCTGCTCTCGCACTGTAAATTGGGATCCTGGTGAAATCACCTCTTCGGGGTGGCTTTGGCTGAATGGTTCCATCCAGCGAGATTCACTTTGGAATCATGTGCCACATGGCCAACATTTATCCGTTTTTTTTACCTGTTGATTCAGCACAGTTATTTGTAACAAATTCGACCCAACAACGTCCCCCTTTCTGCTCGTCGGACAGCAGAGCAGAGCTCAACTCAGCCGAGCTTGATTGCAACGGTTATGTTTTTGAAGACGTGTATTTCAGGTTAGCTTCAAGGTTTGTGCGGGAGATGTGCAGTACAAAACCTGATGGCTTACCCTAGAGGATTATGAATTAAAAATGGATTGGCAAATAAATAATGAAACTGCAGTGGCAATGAGCTGAGATGTAGTATTTGGGGGAAAAAAATGTTGTACGTTGTGTAGCCGAAATCCTTGGAGAGAATTGAAGACCTCTAAGTTGAGGATCTTAAAATTTCATCCGTTGAGGAACTGTGGATTCTCTCTATCACAAATAGAACTTGTTGAAGATGGGAGCATGGTAATGGATTTGTGCCTCCTTTTGTGGTACAAACTTGGCTGTTATACCAGTCAGTGTAAGCTTCATGTCTAATTCACTTGGCAACATCTTCTCAAATGTAACAAGTCAGGAAAGCTGTTCCGCGTCAGAATTTATCTATGTACCTGTCAGGTAACACGGAAGAGGTTTATCCAATGGATTATTGGGCATTAGTGACTACATATGTAGGTGAAGCTGGTAGCCAATATGCTTCAGAGGATTGTTGGTCAGGAGACTGGGAGAAACTTCCTGATCTTTGTGAATAGTGCAATGGGATCTTTAACAGGCAACCTGGACCTAGTTTAACATCTTATCCAAAGCACCTCTAACAACGAGGCATACACCCAGCACTTCACTGGAGTTTAAAGTCTCAACCTGGGGCTTGAACCCACAACCGTCTGTCTCAGAGGTCAGAGTGTTACCAACTGCGCCAGGCTAATACTTACACATATTTGTCTGTATTAAGCAAATGTAAGAATCATAATTATATCAATGACATTTTCTAGTGATGCATTGTTTTTCGGGACTGCAGTCTGTCACAGAGAGTGCAGGCTCGACACAGACCAGCAGTGAACACAACTGATTGATGTGCCGCAGCAGTTTGATGGTAGGCCTGTTGGCTCAGTGGCTGACCCATCTGGTCCCCTGAGAACATCTGTGTTCAAAGATAGGTGGTAGGCCAGCCTGAGGCAAACATGAGCTCCTGTAGCAGATTTGATTGATCAGAGAGGTGGAAGGAATTATGCGAGGGAGAGACTATGGGTTATCAGCATAGGGCTGTTTATGTTATAGAGCCATGGTTCGCATTTCATCAACTGTTCATCAATGTAATACAGTAGAGGTGAGCTTGTAACACAGTACAAAGTAAATAATGGCTGGCTAAGTGGCAGAATTTCACAGGCACTAAAGCATTGCAATTGGGGATGTAGTAAATAAATGACAGAACCACAAGCAATGTAGCTTATGGCTGCGTGGGAGCATTTGTTGCCTAACAATGCCATCTGCACTAAAATAACATTCTAATTTATCGTATTACATTTATTTGGTGAATACATAGCAGTGAATAGTTTAATACAAGAAAATTACAAATGATAAATATTTGTTTCTATTCTTGGATTAGATGGAAGTTTTGACAAAAAACTCAGATCTTATTTAATTTCATTGATGTGGGATTCAATGAGATGTTGTTTTATGGAGCTTCCAGACATATGAACATAGGAACAGGAGTAGGCTATTCAGTCCTTCGAGCCTGTTCTGCCATTTAATTAGATCATGGCTGATCTGTACCTCAACTAATCCATTCAATTCCAATTTCCCGCTTTCTCCCCATATCCTGTAATACCCTGACCTACCAAAAACCTATCAACCTCACTCTTGAAGGTGTGGGTGGATCCAGCATCCACGGCCTTTTTGGAGGAGAGAATTCCAAGCAAGGCACCACTTTTATCAGTTGATTGATCAGTGAGTGGGAATGTATGTTGAGCAGCAATGGCCACAGTCTGGACAATTCTGATAGTTTGGCTGTGGGAAAGTGAGTGAGTGTGTCAGTGCTGTTGAATTATTTTGACTAAAGAAAATATAATGCAGAGGCAGGCATTTACAGTATATAGGAACAGTGACTGGTCCAGACATTAGAGTGTGCTTGTGCTTAAAAATGTATTTGGTTATTGTAATAGATGTGTTCAGTACAATTATTATCTGGGAGGAGTATGGGGGTAAGTAATGTGCATGGTCATGTGTACCCTTCTAAGGTTTCTGTGGCTTATCAACCAGGAGAATTCCGTGTATATCAAATTCCTGATATGTAAATGACTTTTAGATGGTAGAAGAAACATTGTCAATAGTTAGTTAATTTTACACTCACCTGTGCTAGGTTTACACCATTGCATGCAGAAAAGATAATGCAGTAAACGTGGGATAATGGAGTAAGCAGTGTATCAGCCTGGCTTAGGTTGTATCACTGTCATCTCTGAAACCGAAGGTTGCTAGTTCAGGCCCCACATTGGGACTTGTACACTCCAATTCAATGCTGAGGGCTGCGTTGAATCGTTGAGGGTGCTGTCCTTCGGGTTCAGAAGATAAATCGAGGTTTGTCTTCGAGGTGGATGTTAAAGATCTCATGACACTCTTCAAAAAGAGAAGGGAGTTTCTCCTATGCCTTGACCGTGAGGGGATATTTGGCTACTGCATTCAGAAATACACAGCCATCACACTTTACAGAATATCCTGTGAAGTGCTTTGAGATGTCTTCCCAAAGTGAAAGACGTTGTATCAAATGTAAGGATTATTATTATGCCATATTGGCTGTAAATTTGTATTGCCAGATTGCCCTGTATTAGGATTATTAGGACTTAAAATATTGTTCCACATTTTTGCTTTGTGCAAATGTGCATGGTGAAGTTATGCATGTCACTGAAGTTGCAATACTGGAGTAAATACTTGTTAGACCTGGACAGCAGCAGGAAGGAGGTGGAACAGTGGAACCACCGCAAGATATGAAGTGCTCTGGTGCCACATGCATTGCCTTGTTTCTTTTGCAAAAGCAAAACCATATGGCAAACAGCCTAACGGTGCAGCTGAAAAGGAGGTGTGATGTACAGCAGAGGAGGATCATCTATTGCCTGGGGGAAATTTTATTAAAGGACAGTGTCCCACTTATTTTTCCTTATTGGATAATGGGATATCGTATTTTTGCTATGCATTAATGTATAAATGATATTTCTATGTCTTTCTTCACTCGATTTGAAGATTGTTTCGTAAAACTCTCATGTCATTTCAAATGGTGCGATCCCACTTTTCTGCTGCAGAAAGAGGGAGTTGTGTTATTTAAGATGTGCTATTTGTGTGAAGATGTGGAGCTCAGCAAACATTGTAAGTTATGAGCCACTCAGCTGTGGTTCTTGCAGAGCAGTGAGGAGAATTTGGAAAAAGCATGTGAACATTGAAAGCACGGATTGTACAATATCGTGAGGGGCAGTAATTCATTCAGTGGTTGTTTTCCTGTATTTGTTGGAAAGGTCAAACTCCCAAGTCAATTGCATTGTAGCAAACGAGTGCTGATCCTTCTTCTTTGTTCCTGAGGTCATGGTTACAGCAACTAGGTTTATACAGTTTAGGATCTATTGAATATATTCCATAATTTAACCCGTGTTCTAAGGTCACTCAAATGGAACCTTTGCTAAAATGGAGAATAACGTTGTTGAGGAAAGGTTGAAATCTCTTGGGTCCGATTTACAATACCATGGCAGCAGCATATAAGAGCATTATTGTATTACAAGAAGAGTGTTACCTGTCCTATAGCACTGGAGGATGTGAATTTTTGACACTCTCCGGGATGTGTATTTGGAAGTTGGACAATAACTGTCGCTACCCTGCGTGAAGGGCGCTATATAAATGCAAGTTATAGTTGTCGCTGCAGTATGTTCTGTGAAGGGCTTTGAGACGTATCAACGACATGATAAGACGCTAGATCAAATGCAAGTGTTATTATTATTGTCTGCTTGCTGTCAGACATCAAGCCCTGGATGAGTCACAATTTCTTGCAGCTCAATATGGATAAGTTTGAAGCTATTTTCCTTGGCTCCCACAACGAGCTCTGATCGCCAGCTCTGACCTGGCTCAGCTTATGTTTGGAGAATTTCTGAAGGAGGGTTGCCAACGGGTTTTTGGTAGTGGATTAAAAAATACATATGTTTCAAAGAGGACCTTCAAGGGCTATGTACATTATTTGTCATGCTGACCCTGTGTTGCCAGAGTGACGAGGCATTGTATAGTGTACTTTTCAGTCATCAGTGACTAAAGGCAGGGACTGTCACATCAAAGGGATTTCAATTGTATTTTATCGTGTTTCTTTTTGTCAGGACCTGCCGGCAGTTGACGAACTAAATCTTGTTCTTCCTGAAGACACTCAATTGGAACCTGTGGGAATCGTCTCCAGCATTATTGACCAACTTGGTATGTAAAATACTTTGCAGCAGAATGAAACACAATTCTCATTCTTACCTCTCAAGTTAGTGTCCTGTGTACACCTTTTATTCTTGCTTTCCCCTTCTGCCCCATTTAGTGTCTTTGTACCTTTCCAGGAGTTCACAGAGGAACCCCACAATTGTAGATTTTTAAAATACTTTTCTGCCCTGGAGGAACTCTGGTCCAGCTTCTGTGTGCGATTAATGTAACTAATAATACTACTGTAGAATTGCATTCTTCTTTAGTAATTTGCAAATATCTCTGCAAATCCAATCACAGTGGCATTTCCTTCTCCTGGAACCAAACTCCATACCCACATCTCACCAGTTCTGGCCAGGTTCCATTGGCTCCCCATACCAAACGGATTGACTTCAAGATCCTCACACTTTTGCTCAAATCCCTTCACTCTCTGGGACATCTCTACCTCTCCGACCTTCTCACTCCCTAATCCACCACCTGGTGTGTCCGCTCGACTGGCACTGGCCTCCTGCTTGTCCCTCGCACCCCCCGCCCCAGCATTGGAGGTCGTGCTTTCAGCTATTACTGCCCGAATCTCTGGAACACTCTCCCTCACTCAATCCCTCTACTTTGCCTCCTCTCTCCCCTTTTTCAAGTCCCGCCTGAAAACTTTCCTCTTCGACCGTGCTTACGGCCACCTCCCAGCCCTCCCACCCCCACCGGTTCAGAGTCAGACTCTGCCACTGTTAAGAGCTCTGAGATGTTACTCTGCATGGAGGGGGCTATATAAGTGCAAGTTTTTGCTGCTGCTGTTGTTCTGTACACTGCAAGTTCATCAACCTCCCTCAAACCAGTGCACAACTATAAAGAAGATTGAAAGCAACTGCAGGAGGACATAGACAGATGAGTAAATTGGGTAGAGAGGTGGCATATGGAATAAAAAGTGTGAGGTTACACATTTTGGCAGGAAGCTTAGGGTGAAAATCTAAACACTAAATGATTACATTTTAAAAGGGGAAGAAGAGCAGAGAGACTGATTCAGGATTTAATGTTCATATATCTTTAAAGATGGGAAGACAGGTGGACAAAACTGTGAAGAAAGCAAATGTGATCTTATAAATGGGGGCATAAAATATGAAACCAAAGAGTATGATGTTTACCTGTATAAATGTTTGGTTTGACCAATTAGACTATTATGTCCAATTGTGGTCACCTCACTTTAATTGGATGTCAAGTCTGTAGAGTGGCTGCATAGGAGATTTACTTGGATCATACCCAGTGAGGCATGAGTGATTTGACCAGTGAATAGAGAGTAGAAGAACTGGGCCTATTTTCATGGGACCTCACCCCTCACGCTGCTGAAACCCTGGTCCACGCCTTTGTCACCTCAAGGCTGGACTATGGGAACTCTCTCCTCGCCGGCCTTCCCGCCACCTCCCTCCACAAGCTGCAGGTCATTCAGAACTCTGCAGCTCGTGTACTGTCCCGCACCAGGCTTCGGGACCACATCACTCCCACTCTCGCTCGCCTCCACTGGCTCCCCATCCCCCAGAGGATTGATTTCAAGATCCTCATCCTCACCTACAAGGCCATTCACGGCCTCGCTCCCTCCTACCTCTCCAACCTACTATCCCCCTACCTACCTGCCCGTACCCTCCGTTCCTTTGGCTCTGGTCTGCTCCACGTGCCCTGCCCCAACCGCCCTACCATCGGTGGTCGGGCCTTCAGCCTCTCAGCCCCGAGGCTCTGGAACTCCATCCCCCAGTGCCTTCGCCGCCTCCTCCCTTTCCTCCTTCAAGGCCGGTCTCAAAACCTTTCTCTTTGACCGTGCCTTCAGCTCCCCTCTCGACTCTCTTCCCCCTCCTCGCTCCCTCCCTTCCCTCCCTCCCCTGACCATTTCCCCCTCCTCGCTCCTCCCTTCCCTCCCCTCACCCTGACCATTTCCCCCCTGCTCGGGTCATGACCCAACTGTGCAGCGCCTTGGGACGTCCTCCTGACGTGAAAGGCGCTTTATAAATGGAATCTTGTTGTTGTTGTTGTTGTTGTTGTTGTGTCCTCGCTTTCTAGATGTATCTCCCCCAATTCCTTCCCTTGTACCATCTCTTCCTGCTGTCAAAACTCTCTCGATCTCTTTGACTTTCACTTCGGTCAACACCCTCAACTTCTTTCCTGTCTGCTGATTGCTCCCCATTGGTCCTGTTAAGTGCTTAGAGACCTTCGCCCTTTGACAAAGGTGTTGTATTAGTGAAACGCACTGTCATTACCTTGACCGTAGTGAATATCATGTATCCTAGCAACAGTTTCTATTGTGAGGCAACTGTATTTGTCTCCAAGGAAGTTGTGATGGAAATGATTTAAATATGTCTGGTTCACCTGTAGCACAAACCTTCCAGAAACGTTGTTTGTTGAAATGAGACATATTAACTTAATTACAATAACCAATTTCACATGCCAGTGGTTTCAATGAAACATAATCCTCAATTGAAACCAGTTTGTTTTCTTAAGCTCTACTTGTTTAAAGCTATTTTTAGTATTAGTGTTCTGGGTGCCGGCTTGGTTTAGTGGTAGAACCCTCCCTTCTGAGTCAGAAGGTTGTGGGTTTGAGTCCCACGTCGGGGTTTGAATTTACATAGTGTAAGCTGACACTCCAGTGCATTGCTGGGGCTCTCTTGCATTGTTGAAAGTGTCGTGCTTCGGATGAGACGTTAAACAGAGGATTTTAAAATACAGTCACTGCACTTTACAGTGAATCCTGCAAAATGCTTTGAAACATCTTCCCTGTGGAAAAGGCACTTTATCAAATGCAAGAGTAATTATTGTAGCATCAATAATTGTATTTGATTGCTTTGGTCTATTTAAAGAAATCCCAACGAAGAAAATAAAAATCGTACTACCAAACCATATTATGTTTTTTCTTGAATGATCCAATGAACTTACTTCATTCTATTTGCACAATTATTCTAATTGTTCATTTTAATTGCACAACTGTGTCTCTGAAAATGAGTGTATGTCAAAAATAGAAGTTTTGTGCTAAATCACAATGTTTTTTTTGGGGGGGAGATTAATTTATTTAAATTCTCACCATCAAGACTGTTTGGACGGGGCGGGGAAAAGTTTTGCTTTCCCCTATTCTCTTATTCCCCTCCCCCCAAAAACGCTGTTATTTAACACTTCTTTAACCTTTTCTCTTGAATATGGTTTTTGTCTTTAAAAAGCAAGTACTATTGACATCGTCAGGGGAACTAACCTGATTAGGTCACCGTGTGAAGGAGCTGAATTCACATGCACAAGTGAAACAAAAATAGCTCCAGCAGCTTTTGTTAATGTTGCTCCTCATGATATTTCTTAAGAAGAAGGAGAAATTTCTCTTATTATTCCCTGAGCTCTATGTATTATTTATGAATATACCAGGCACTGTTATCTCTTCACTCCCCCCACCACCACCCGCTCTCTCTTCCCCCATTGCCACTTCTTTGTTTGGGGAGAGGATTGCTTTTTTTTGTGTAATTATTTGTGCGTAAAAATGCTTATTGAAAAAAATTAGCAAAAAATCCACCCAAAGTGGTAGTTTCAATCTAGAAAATGCTTGCTTCATCCTGTGGATATTGTGAGAGAAGTGCTTAGAGATTGCTAATATACACCTGGGAATGCAACCCTGAAACTGTATGTGCAACAAGGTAAGAGCTTCTGATAGGTCGCACCTCTGACAAATTAAGGCACCATCTCTAGGAGTTATTGCAGGACATTGCTGAACCTGTGTGTAATGCTGTTTCTTACCAATGTTTCTTTGCATGATGTGATGTTGATCTCAGTTGGGCTTTCTGCACATAGCATCATAGAGAGGCCAGACATTTCCCCACAGGGAAGGAAGAAAAATTGAAGGGCAGGTTAATCAAGACTGACCTTGTTCGCCTCCTAACAGCCAGCTAAAGAGGCATAATGCCCTAGGAAGTCAGCAGTTTATGGGCTCGGTTGTGGAACTTAAACCTACAGTAACGGTATATAAAGCTGTATGAAAATATATTTTTGACTGCTCCAATTGTGGGGAGGAAGTGAAGTTATAAACTGTGAAGAATATTCTTTGAGAGTGGGGGTGGAGTGGAACTTGCCTGAAAATTCACAACCCTTTTGCAAGCAAAGTAGGCATCAATAACTCCATGGCATTTATGGAGTTTCATAACTCCAAAGCAATTTGCCCACATAATATACAGTACAGTATATTCTGTTCAGCACTTTGAGATGTGAGACATCAAAAAAAATGCAAGGCTTATTATCAGACTTAGTGTATTGATTGTTATCCAGTAGTTCCTTAGCCATCTGATTGTGTTTCGACATTTATGGCGTTTCATAACTCAAAGCAGTGAAAATTGTTGCATTTTGTTTCCCAGCATAATGTGAATGTGTCCTGTCCAAAAGGTTTAGAATCACTGAACTCTTCCTGGATCTGACTCCCCTGTAAGCCCCTGCAATGCCACCTGTGTTTATCTTTTTGGCTGGTGCTGCTTAGCCCAAGGCAATCCAGCACAAATACTGGCTCTTTAATTTCTGCCAGTATTAGCTGCAAATCCTCATGTAGAAAGCTGTACCTTTTTGTGGACCCAGTCATTGAGCTGCAGGAAAGTATTTTTTAAGCTAGAGCATTATTCTACCGAAGAGGGTTGGCATCTTTTATTCAAGTTTGCCTCTTTCACGGCACATCTCAAGACCCTCCCCCCCCACTCCGCTCAAGTCCTAATCCCTGACTGTTCATCACCTTGGGATTTCCTCCCGACGTGAAAGGCGCTTACAAATGTAATTTGGGATTGTATCGTATTAATTGTGTCTATAAAACCACCAAAACTAAGTCAAATAGTATGGGCAGACCTACTGAACAGGGTTGCCTGACTGACTTTATCCAAGTCTACCTACTCAGTGTGCACAAAATCTATACATGAACTTCATAGGAGGATCAGGGCTTTAGGAGGACCACTAAAGGTGTCTGGAAATGAAGGTAAGACTACACTTCAATAGAGGAAGTAAACAGCTGTAAC